AGGCACGAGAGAGAGAGAGAGAGAGAGAGAGAGAGAGAGAGAGAGAGAGAGAGAGAGAGAGAGAGAGAGAGAGGGAGCCCCTTCTCGACCTCCCTGCCATGGTCGTACGACCTTGTCACCGCTGCAGAAACTGTCCTCGACTCTTCGCCCCACCCCGTACTGCGTGTGCGGTGAGACATCCCGTCCCATGTCCCGTCCTTCATCCCACCGCCCTGCCTCCAGGAGCTTGATATTCTATGACAACCCCTCCCATCTTCCACCCTCGCCCAACCCTATCCAAGTGAAGGTCGGCGAGCTCCACTCAGTGGCACTCACTACTGCTTTCTTTCCACCGGTTAAGAACGACGGCCGGCGGAGCAAGGAATCGTGGAGAGGTCGTCTCAGTGGCACTCCACTACTGCTTTCTTCCGCCCGGAAGCTAGGAACCACATACACGAATTAAGCGATACTGACCGTAGATAGCAAAGATCAACGGCCAGAATCTCTTAATCCGTGCAAGTGGGACCTTGCCCCGGTTGGGAACGACGGCTGCCTGAGCAAGGAATCGTGGGGATTGGGCATCATCATCGCGGCCGTGCGCTCCGCCCCAGTTCCACCGTGACCTTTCTGATAGCCCGATTGATGCTCAGGATGTGATCGCTGTTGCACAGCCTCCACACAATCATTCATCAGGATGTTATCAGTTGAACTCAACGTTTTTACGTCGCAGGCCTTCGACGACGCGGTGTCCCCCTGGCCTCACCACCAGTTTGCCTCAACAGAGACAAATCGAGCGGACGTGACTCAGCAAAAAGTGCTTAGACAAAAGCGGAAGACAATGGGGTATACCTTTCTCGGCCTTTTGGCTAAAAATAGATCAAGTGCAATGTATCTGTTCTGATCAGTTTAATCTCTGGTCCGTGGTCCATCGGGCCACATTAACAAAAAAAAAAAAAAAAACAAAAAAAAAACAAAAAACGATGGGGTACCAGAGTTTGCATCGCCAGAGACAAGAAGAGCGCACAGGCGACACAAGAGAAAGTCCTCAAAAAAATGAAGCTACTGTAAGAAAGTCCTCAAAAAAATAAAGATGCTGCACGTATCACGGTATCCGTCCTGCATTAAATAAAGATACTGCACGTATCACGGCGAGCGTAAGGAAATAAGATAGTCCTCAAGAAAAAAAAAACTTAAAAAAAAAAAAAAAAAAAAAAAAACTACTGCACGTCTCACGGTATCCGTCCGAAAATTCGTACCGAGCAGAATGGAATGCAGAACAGCAAAGGTCCGCCCTCCTACATGGCAAATGTCCCACCATAAAAAAGAAAAAAAAAAACGGCTAAAACACTAAAAAAACAAAAAGAAACAGCAGCGTACAGCTATTACGACGCGCGCAAGTGAAGAACTAAATGCTGATCGTCCTATAGAGGTACTTAACAATCAGTTACTTCCTCCTCACGTCCAGTCGTCACCGTTGGACTCCTCACATGAGGAGGCAATACTTACGCCACGACAGACACACACACTCACACACACACTTGGCCTTTTCTCCGAAGTTAATTAACCAACACTCCAAAAAAAAAAAATAATAATAATTAACCAACACTCCTGCCAGACCCCACCCACGTGAGAGGTGAGCACCTCCCTCTCAGCAGCTTTTCCATTTGAAGCTCAACCCCAGGCGGAACTTGTCATCGTCGGAGTCGCCGATATTCGTCGCCTTGCTGCCTTCCGCCGTCGCCACGATCTTGACGTTCAGAATGACAGCGCCGTTGCTCTGGCTCCGCACGATCGGACTGAAGTGTTGCCTGAACTCGACGATCCGTTTTGCCGGGCCTTTGATGATGCGCCGGACCGAGTCCGTGCCCGGCTGTCCGGACAAATAGTAGATGAACTCGTAGATGATCTTGGAGCCTGCTTCCACGTCCGCGAACCCCCTTCCCGTCACCTTGGGCACCGCGGAGCACCAGCCATCAGGAACGTCCAACTCAAACGAGACCTGGCAGGTCTTCCTGCGGTCGGGCAAGGATCCGTCGGTGGTCACAAGCAGGCCGCCGAAAAGGATCGTGACAATTCTGTAGTCCTGGGACAGAACGTAGTTGGTGTTGTCCCAGCTGCAACCAGTGCCGCTGTAAGTGACCGAGGTAAGGGGCACTTCGGGCTGGCGACCTAAAGCACGTGCAGGACGTGCACTAGCGGCGAGTAGAAGCAAGGCAGTGAGCGCTGCCGTCCGCAACACGAATAGCGCCATGGCCTTCGCCTCCTTCGACTTCTCAGGACGTTCTCCTCTTCCTCTGATCGTCCGCAAGGCTAGCTGCACTGAAGACGACAGTGACAGTCGTGAGTGATGCGTCGCCTTCTCTCCCTCCTCCAGGGAGACAGATCACCGGCTCACTGAGTGGAAGGAAAAGCTCGCTCTCCGGCAGATCGCGGCTGTGATAACGCTGCTGCTCTCGCAGTCTCGAGAATTGCATGCGCGCAAGACGGGGCTGTATGATCCTATTTACAAAATGGTGGAAACAGGAGAGTGGAATATATACGGAACAGGTATACAAGGAATACTACCGTAGAAGGAAAATACAGGATGCGACAAGGCCCAGATCTCGCCGCAGCTCCAGATTTATCATTTATCATTATTATTTAATAATAATAATAATAATAATAATAATAATAATAATAATAATAATATTATTATTATTATTATTATTATTATTATTATTATTTTATTATTATTATTATTATTTTATTATATTTTAATATTTAATGTGGCGCGGGCCTCGCCGGACGGTAAGGAAAAGGAAACGAAACGACCTCCTAACTCGCGAGGGCTCACGAGGCCCTATTCCGCCGTTTCGCCTCGTTTCTGTGCTCACCGCCGCACAGCACACGCGAATATCCACGCAGCCATGCCCTGATGGCAAACGGACAAATGTTTCCCTGAGGCTGGCAAGCACTACGCCGACTACGGTCCAAGAATTTGGACGGACACGGGTTGGACGTTTGCGGTGAACTCGCGAGAATCCACAGGTCCTCCACCATCCTCACCGAGGACCCGAGACTTCTCGTGAGTTGCAGGCGGGGACGAGTTGTGAACCCGAAAAACCTCGCGAACGGAGAATCTGACAGCGTTCGCGAGTTGTTTCTGACCACAATAGCGTTGGTGCTATGCGGCGGTGCGTTCACGAAACGAAATCGTTTTTTTGTTCGTGTTCTCTACCGTCCGGCCAGGCCCTTTATCTGGTTTTCAAGTAGGCAGGGGGCAAGTCCCACTAGAAGCGTTTGTAAAAAAAACTAGAAGCGTTGAGCTACCTCAACGCCCGAATCTGGACGCCTTTGCGGAGATGTGCACAAATGGTGTTGAGTTTCCTGAACTGCACGTCTCCACAAAAACGTCCAGATTCAGGCGTTGAGGCAGCTCAACACTGCTAGTGGGACTTGGCCCCCGGTCTGTTTTTCAACAGTTTGTGGGTGTACCCACTCTGCTCGGCCCATTGGTCAACTGCTCTCGAAATGTGCAAACGAGGGTGAATCTTCCGCTATAACATGGGAAGATACACTGCCATGATTTTTGTGTCTTGCCCATGTCGAGCGCAGTGGAGGGACGTCGCCATTTCACACATTTCTCTTTTTTTTTTTTTTTTTTTTTTTTTTTTTTCTTGCTGCAATTCTGAGATGTTGTATTTCAAAGCAGAGACAGAGGCCCGGGAATACACCTCAACAATACAACCCGGCACCGAAAACATGCTCGGGCCTTTACCCAGCTGTAGGCTCCTGGAAACCGGGTCCAGTGTCCCTTCTCAAAAGCATGCCACTATTTCACACATTTCTTTTTTTTTTTCTTTTTTTTTTTCCTTTTTTTAACAAAGTTGCAGACTTTCCATTAACAATCAAAGGAGGCCGGGAATCCCTCCACATCTCAACCCGGAGTGTCCAGTGCCCCGATACCCAGTGAAGCTTGTGCTGGAAACCGGGTCCAGCGTCCCTGAGCTGCAAACTTAACAAGAAACTAGCAACTGGAAAAACAAAAACTGTCAGTCAGAAATAAAGGGAGCAAATTCTACTCCTGTGCTGGAAATCGGGTCCAGCATCCCCAAACTGCAATCTTATGGGACATTCGGAGGGTGGTTTCACAGTAGATCTGAGTAGAAAAGTTTGTTGTTGTTTGAGAAGTCTGCCCATTTGTAAGGCATGGACCATTTCTGACGAAAGGAAACTCTAGCTGTATCTGTTGAGGGTGAGCATTTTCTGGTTTTTATCCAGTCCGCTGTAATATCCAGGCGAACTGCCTGTTTGAACTGTGCCAACAGGGAGGGGAGAGGAGAGTTTGTGTTGAGAAATCTCCTGTCCCTCCTTGCTATCCAGAGGCACCAGTATGCCCTTCTTCTGAAGCATTGGGCCACTCCGCTGAGCTGGTGCCTTTTGTAAATAGGATTGAACCTGCCCGTCACCACATAGTCTTGATTCCAAAAGTTTGTCGCCGTGTAAGCCTTGTGCCACCAGGAGTTCAATTCTTCCCAGAAGCCTCTGGCGATGACGCACTCCCACCAGAGGTGGAGCCAGTCCTCCAGGGAGGGATGGGGACAAGCATCGCATAGTACAGAGATGTCCATGCCTTTCTCAGAGCACCATAATGCAGTAGGGACACATGAGTGCAGATGTAACCACTGTAAGCCACCAACTTTGGGTTCCAGGGAGGAGAATAYAAGGTGAATATAAAAGAGGAGCCATTTAGGAGATAGTGGTTGGAGGTTGAGGGATGATACTCTGTGTTGCCAGTTAAGTARAAGATTTGCCTGGAGGGTCTGGGGTTCTGAGAGAAACTTATAACCAGATTTAGGTGAGTAGTCCATTAAGGGGACTTTAGTGGGTGTGTTATCAACGTCTGTTACCAGCCATCCATATTTACAAATGTCCACCTTCCAGTCCTCRAATGGGGTCGCTTCCATGATGACCTGGTAGGRTGATCCGCCTTGTGGAGATTTCCTCTGTTGAACTCGTACCTCTGTCATGTTGCTCGGAGAGATTATCTGATTGTCCTTAGATTGGTGTAACTTGGAGTCTTGGAGGGTCCATTCTGAGGCCTCTACCGTCCCGTCTTCTCGGAGCTTGTCTATCCTGTAGAAGAGGTCCGAAGAGGCTGGTGATTTGAACCACTGCTGTTCCCTGTAGCTGTTGGTGGTGTCTTCTAGCGTAGTCCGCCATGCTGAACGAATAGCATTGGTAAGTTCTCTGAGATGTTCTTCAATGTGATGAAGCCCGGACAGTATTGGCCTGAGTTCCCCCGTAGATTTCCAGCAGTTCTGTTCATTGTTCCATATGTGTCGGATCAGCCAGATACCACGCTGCATCCACCTGAGGCCGGAGTTCCCTGACGCATTGGCGGCTGAGAAGGGGATTCCAACTGTGTTGCGGATTAGTGGGTTGTGAAAGAGGCAAGTGTTAAGTATTTCTTCCTTGTTTGATGGTTCTTCCAGGGTTTGGGGGAGCATTTTCCCCCAAGCCTTTAGTAGATTACTCCAGGTTCTTCCTGTTGTTCTGGAGATGAAGGGGTGCATTAGTAGGGCGTGCCAAACTGCTTCCGGATCGGAAAGCTGCCAGTCCTTGGCCAGGGAGTATTTTGCCAGGATTATCCAGGGTTGCTGCTCAGTAGAGCATAGTGCTCTCACCTGCCATTTCGCGAGAAAAGCACGGTGTTGATTTGTTGGATCTATAATTCCTAAACCACCTGCTTTTTTCACACATTTCGTGAGCAGTGCGGCGACAAATTGGTGAGCGCCAAACAACAGGAGCATGGTCCCACTAGCAACCGGGATTGGATTGAGATCCTGAATCTGGGCGTGTTTTAGGCAGAGATGCAGAAAAGGAGTTCAATCTCGATTTTCTGCACTTGTCCACAAACGCGGCCAGATTCAGGCGTTCAATCCAATCCTCTTTGCTAGTGGGACCTCGCCCCTGGACCTGTCTCTTATACACATCTAGATGTTTTTTTTTGAGAAGTTGGTCACCTTTGTTACAAATAACAGAAGTTCAGAAGAGGCCGGGGGCTAGGTCCCACTTACACGAATTAAGAGATTCTGGGCGTTGATCTTTGCTATGTACGGTCGATATCGCTTAATTCGTGTAAGTGGGACCTAGCCCCGGGGACCTCACAATTTTCTGCAATCGTCCCACACACGAGGCCAGATACAGGCGTTCGATCCAATCCTCTTTGCTACCTTCTTCCCCCGAATACAACGCACGGTCATTATATCTGTATGTAGACTGAAAGGTCACCCAGATACGGTTATAATGACCGTACGTTGTACTCGGGGGAAGAAGGTAGTGGGACCTCACCCCAAAAGAAAAGCCAACAATCATGGCACAATGTATCTTTCCTTGTTCTAGCTGAAGATTCACTCTCGTTTTGCACATTTCGAGAGTGGTCGAGCGTGTGCGATATGAAATGAGGATGCGTTGTGTTCGGGGGAAGACGGTAGCATTCCGATTATCGCTGATTTGTCGTTTCCGTTACTTTCCGATAATTCGGATCATTTTCAAACGACGCGTGTCATCCTTCGGCAGGGCCATTTCTTTCCTTTCTTTTTTTTTTTTTTTTTTTGAAAGCTGTCGTCTCGGCATCGGGGGACAGCTCTCTCTCTCTCTCTCTCTCTCTCTCTCTCTCTCTCTGTGTGTTCAGCCTCCTGATGAGTCGGTGAAACTCCGACGAAACAGTTTGTCACAGCCCCTCGTTTGTTGTCCTCTTCTCCTTCTCCCTCTCTGCCTACGGTTTACCGGGCAGTTCTATTTTACGATATATATATCGTCACAAACAGAATATATACATATATTTTACTAATGTAGCCTCACATATTTTAACGGGCTTTCTGCCATGTCATCAGGGAACAAATGTTTTTCTGCCATGTCACCATGAGACTTCGCATTTTTAGTGAATTGAAGTGATTTTTTTTTTTTTTTTTTTTTCTTTGAAAAGAAAAGGGGGGGACAAAAAGATAACTTGCAAAATACCCTCATAAGTTGAGACATGTGCCAAAGTGCCCCTGAAAGATGTGGGTAGAGCGTAATGACCCTCTGACAAAAAGAAAAAATTGTGAAATACCCCATCTCGGTTCGACCCCCCCATCTTTCTGATATAACCCTGCCGGGTACCATCCAACTTTGCAAAATACCCTGAACTTAGCAGCAACTTCCCTAAGGCCCAGTTGCAAAAGGCCATGCCCAAACGGCGAGGTCCATATCGCAAATTTGGACACTTGCCTGACAGGGCATAACACAAAGATTTCGGCTTGAAAGGGCATTCCGCTCTTCCCACATCTTTCAGGGGCATTTTGGCATTCATCTCAACTTATGGGGGTATTTCGCAAATTGGCCCAAAAAAACAAACACACATACTTCCGGACATCCGTTTACAAAAAATAAAAAAAAATTGGAACAGACAGAGAAGAGCATGATCCCTGCGC